TTTTCTAAACAATTTTAACAAGAAACCCCAAAAGCAGGTTATTAAGTTCATAGCAGCCATTGGTAATACTAATGGAAGATGTAGGTTAACTCAAACATAATTTTACCCCTGCTGCATGCTCCTTCAAGACATGGCAACATTCATAGTTCCCATCTTCGGATCCTTGCCAAACACGAACAGTCTGCAACATTTAGAAACCAGTTAGACTAGGAAGTTGGTTAAAATGTAAGGACAACATGGAATACTACAAAACTAGAACTGAAATAAAATAAAATTAGGATGTGATGCAGCTCTACATGGTACCTCCAATTGATTATGCAATTTATAGAAGGAACCAAGAAAACCACAAAGTAAGAAATAGAATTCATTCAATTGAATCTTAAGGCTTAAAAATGGTCACCTTATCTGCTGAGCCACTTAAAAATAAATCATTCTGAGCTACAAATTTTACACTTGTAACCTACAAAGAGAAGTGTTGTCAGAAAATAAGTTTTAACAAGGGGAACAAAATTGCAGCTATTAACAAAAAGGCAGAAATGAATAAACCTTCTTTGAGTGACCGCTAAGAGTAGATATGATCTGTCCTGAAGTTCGATGAAGGAGCACAGCATTTGAATCAACCCCTCCTGTGGCAATGATATCCTGATAACAAAAGAAGGTAAACAGAAAAGTAAGCTGACAGGAAACATATAAAAGCAACAAAAAGATGAAATGAAATCAGTAACATATCACATTCAAAAATGGGTTTACTCAATAGGTTGTTGTACCTTTGAAAAATTGATATCAATTGAAGTGATCCCAGCTTTGGTTGTCTTGTGAAGAGGATGACTATGAACCTGGGTATATCTCTCCAAAGCTTCCAAGGGAGCCAATGTTGGAGATATCTGAAGGGAAACACATATATATGAGATAAGGAACCAAAACAACTGATACATATTGTCATCTATAAAGATATAATAGGAATTAATCAATTGACACCCTAAAAGTACAGAGAATATAAAAAATTGAACAGTTGTGGTAGATGAAAGCACCTGTCGACTTTTACGTTGCTTTGAAAGTGCTGTATTACAGTCAGTCAGCTCAGCAATGATGTTCTGAGAAATCCCAGGACGCATTCTCTTTGCACCAGGGCCCAAATCCTCATCTTCTGCAGCTACAATCATGGCAATAGAGCCCAAATAAGATAGAAGACAAATTAAACAAGAACAGAAATCAATAGAAGCATACTAAGAAAGAACCTCTTTTCCCATTGCTAAGAGCAGAAGCATTGGCTGCCACAGCTGTTGATGCTAGCAATGGTAGCTGTCTCTCCGCTTGCACAAGGAATGACCTAGCTTCATCCCTTTCCTTTTTAAGTCTTGCAATGACACGGCAAGCAGCATCATGCTGTCAAAACAAAATAGAGAAAACCCCACAGGTAAAATTAGTTAAGTCAGTAAGCCTGAACAAAAATATAATGCAGCTAAAATTCCATCCTTTTAAGCTCCAGACTTCAGCACTAAAAGGACCTTTAAAATATGTACTGCATTTAATTGGTATATTTCCCATGGTATGAAGTTAAATAAATTATAAATAAATAACAATACTACGCCAAATTACAGGCCTTCTTAAAGAAGTTTCTGTAAGTAATAAAAGAGGGGGGAAAAAAACATAGAATACAAAAATAAACAAACACAGAGGAAGAGGAAAGTGCAGAAATTAACAATGCTACCAAACGCTGACCTTTGAACAGAGCAGGTACAGATAGAAAAAGCATAGGAAAATTAAAGAGAGACTTTGATATCCAAAATCTTACTATTATTACCTGATAAAGCGCATGACTTAGCTCTTGTCTAGCTGCATGTAACTGTTGCTCCAATGCAAAATTGGATAGCATCAAAGCATCCCACTCCTACACTCAGAAAATGATATAATGCCTTAATTTTCAACTAAAATATTAGCATTAGTATGCTCAGTAACTCTGTGTAAAATCACAGAGAATTTATATGTTGGAAAGATAGTGTCCTAATTGTAAAGAGCAAATTCATAGCAAATGAGAAAGGGGGAAAAAAATGACTGAAAAAGTCATTCTTCCCCCTCCCTCTTTAGGGTAAGACAAAAGGATGGTCCTTTGAGCTCTAAAGCATGTGGCCATGTAGTAACTTGAAATAAATTAAGACAAAAAAAAAATTGCATAAGCAAAGCATATACTAGGAAAAACATACATTCTGGAACATCCCAAGCATCCCAGGGATACTAGCTGCTGTTAATGATCTCGGTTTCACAATCTGTGTAAGATGTCAATATATAGACAAATCAGCACAATATCTGTATTTTAACAGGTATGAATAATTAGCTAAAAGATTTAAAAGGACCTAAAGAATATGTGTGTCTGTATCTGTGTCTGTGTGTGTCTGTGCATAGAAAACAACCAATGATTGAAGCTTACTTTTCCTGTTTTTATGGGGACAATATCATCCAAGGTAAGTGATTCCCCAGTAACTGGGCATTTTCCATAATCCTGATCACACAACCGAATTCTTCCATTAATTGTGAAGCAAATCTTTCAGACAAAAGATTATATACATAACCGTAAATTCCCAACTTAAGTCTGAGGAAAAAATACAAACTAAAAAAGTCCCAAATATTTATATATATATATATATAAAACATTAGAAGGTATTCTGAAATAAACACAGCTCAGATGCCATTTTTTATTTTCCCAAAAAAAAAAAAAAAAAAGGAGCTCAACATAAGCAATAAGCTGCATTCAGTCAAGCAAAAGAGCTATATAGAGCTATATAGAGCTATACAACAAGAGCTCCAGGAGAATTAAAACCTTCTAACTCCTTTTTCACAAAAGCCTTAAACAAGCAGCTCATATGTTCAGTTCATTCAAACAAAAGTACTTCTCTAAAGATTTTTCCATACAATATCCCAGCAACCAAACAGAAACCCTAGAATCGTTTATAAAGAAAACAAAACAAACGAACATACTGCTGCGTACCGCTATGTGTCTCTCAATTAAGCGCTTCTCGAATAGTAAGCCCGAGTTCTTGGACACCACAGGCTCCTCCGGCACCTCGCCGGAAACTGTATGGACAACAAAAACACAGATCAAGAAACCTCGAAATAAACAGGCGTAGCAGTACAAAACAGCATTCAACACGAAATGAAGAACCGAATAAGCAGAGAAAGAGATGGAGAGAATATTACTTGAACAGTTCATTGTTGCAGGAGAGAAGCTAGGGTTTTTGGTTATGGAAAGGAAACAGAGGAAGATTTCGGAGGGTGAAGCGGTTTAAGAGGGAAGATCGAAGACGACGAGGGAAATGTAAAATAGAAGAGGCGGGTCAAGGTATATATTAGGGATCCGGAAGGAATGGACTGAGCTTAGATTTGGGTTCGCGGTGGCCCAACCTCAAATATATAGGTCCATGATCTGGGTTGGATACTAATGGGCCTAGTCTTTCCTAAATAAATTAACGGGTCCATAGATCTGGGGGCTGGAGGCCTGTGGGCTGTGGCACACCATTCTTCTTTCCTTTTTTATTTTTTTTTTTAGCGGTCAAGGCATTCTAAGCTACTTTGCGGTGTCTTGTGATTAATTAGATTGTTTATCCATTATGTTCTTTTAATATTTTAAAGGTTTTTTAACTTGTATTCTAAAAATGTAATAAATATATTTTTTATTATAAATTTATATTAAAAAATAAAAATTAATATTTAATTTATCAATTGTTCATTAAATTTATTTACATAATAATAATACTAAAATTAATATCAATTTTTATATTTTTTATACAAATTTATAATAAAAATATAGCCTAGATAAAGGTTAGAAAAACCCATATTTTAATTAAAAGGTATTAAGTATTTGAAATTAAATAAAGGCACTAATACCTGAGTGTAGAAGAAATTTTCATTAAGATGTCACCATCCTTTGGTGTAAGCCTACTTGAAGTAATAGGGCTTTTGCCCAAAATAGGGAGAGTATTTGGGAATATAGATTTGAATCTCTTAAATGCCGTTTGTTGTGCAATTGTTTATATCATATGCATTCTGCATGTAAAAGGGAGACACAAGGAAAATCCAAGAACTCTTGATTTTGTTCACTTCTCCAAAGCAGAAGCGCGGAATATATGTACGTATACGAGTAAAAAGAATATATTCCCTGATGGAAAGAAAATTTGATTCAAGTACTTAACATATATATGTAATGTATGTTTTTCGATTTCAAAAGGATATCTTGAAAAAGAGAAACTCTGAATATGAAGTGTGCCGTGGTTCTTCCCTTGGTTAAATTCTGTTAATTTGAGTGAATATAAGAATATGTTTTGGTATAAGCATGGTTCTCTTAATTATTTTCATCTTGGAATGGGAATTTCCGTCAACGCTTGCTTGTATTGGAACTTTGTGCCAAAATAGCAAAATGGAAGCTCCAGAAAACCCGAATTGCATTGCTAAAACAAATATAGGGATTCACACATGAGTCAGGAAAGGACAAAACCAAGAACAGCACAAAGATGATTTCATGGTTTGTGTTAGGATTTATGCTGCGGGGAAAAATCTCTTATCAAGTTTGTAATAAAAAAACTTGTAACTTAAATATAAAGATAATTACTCCACCTATTATTAATTAATTTTAATTTAAATATAAATCATGTATTTAAACTCATATATGTAATTTTCACATGATATTAAAATCAAATATAAGCTTTCTTCTTAAAAAATTTATTATGAAAGTTCATACAAACATGTGAGTTAAATATCAGGTTTGTAATTTATTATCAATTAATGTTAAATTGATTGTAAAATTTATAATTCAAACTTACATACTTAATTTTCACGGTTTGTTTGGTGAGATGTGTTTAATTGCGATAAAAAAAAGTGAGGAAAAAGCAACCTAATACATGAACGGTTGTGCATGATTGAGTAGCAGCTATCTTTGTTCTAATTTGCTCACTATGCTATATTTATTCTTATGCTACCATTCTTTTATAGAGATGCATTTTAACATTTTATAGTGTAACTACTTTATAGATGTCGGTAAAGAATATAGATGGAATTAACCATTTTAATCAACGACGGTTTTCATACATATATATCATAAATATGCAGGGAGGAATGGATCCAAAAGGCATGAAAAACAAGTTTAGGTTATTTTTTTAGGACAGTGATTGGATGTCCATTTCAAAAGCGTGTCCATCAAAAACAAATGTATTGAATCGAATATTACCAATTATTTTCTCTTTTATTTTTTATCATAGTTTAGAAATTGGATGTCCATTTCAAAAGCAATTTGTAATTGAAACAACTTTTAACCTTTTTAAACACTTTTTCTGTGTGAAAAGAAACTTATTTTCATTGTTACAGAAGATGGAAAGTGACTTAGATTAAGCCTTGTTTGGACTGCTGTTCTTAATTGTAAGTAGAATAAGGGAATAATTTATAATTGGGGGCATAGATGGGAAATCATTTGCCTTTCCTTGACATGGAGAAGACCTGTTAAGTGTTAAGCT